TTGTCTCCAGGCTGACGGCTCTATACGGGATCGAGGAGGTGCTAAAGCTGCAGGAGGGCGAGACCCTGCTGGTGAACGCGGCGGCCGGAGCCGTGGGCGCCGTGGTGGGACAGATCGCCAAGATCAAGGTGTGGGGGAGTTCCTCCTGACGACCTAGTGAATTATGTCAAGTAGGGATGGGACGGTTTCTGAAAACCGTCCGAACCGTTGGGTTGGACTGTCTCGGTTCGGTTCATGCTGCTCCTTTTTCTCAGAGGGAAGCGTTTACACTCCAGAGCAGAAGGGGGCGCTACTGCGCCCAAAGCCAACCACCAGTAGGAAACAAGAAGAAGAAGCGAAGCAGCGTAGCCGATAAAAATCAGACGCGCTAACAGCAGTTTATAGGTCTGCTGTATGGACCAATTTGCATTTAGAGGGAAGCACATGTTGGAATTAGCACTGTTTCCTCTCTTGCAATGCCAGAATCTCACCTACTTTTAACCTAAGACTGTCACAATGACGTATCAAATGTCATACTACTTTTTTCTTTCAGTTTTAACCTGACTATACAAGACATAATAGATTTTCCTAACAATCAACATATACGCGAATCGAACCGAGACAGTCGAACCGAACGGTTCGGACGGTTTTCAGAAACCGTCCCATCCCTAATTGTGAGATATTAATCCACTACAAAGGGCTGCAGGGTGGTGGGTTCGGCCGGGTCCGACGCCAAAGTGAAATACCTGCAGGATCTGGGCTTCGACCGGGCCTTCAACTACAAAACCGTGGGCTCCCTGGAGGAGGCGCTGAGGAGCGCCGCCCCCGACGGATACGACTGCTTCTTTGAGAACGTGAGGAGGTCCTCATGTTTACGTTTATGTTTATGTTTATGTTTATGCATTTGGCAGACGCTTTTATCCAAAGCGACTTACAGAGTAGACACAATATTACATTTCTCATCACTATGACAATAAGCTATATACAGGACTGTCTCAGAAAATTAGAATATTGTGATAAAGTTCTTTATTTTCTGTAATGCAATTAAAAATCATGAAATGTCATACATTCTGGATTCATTACAAATCAACTGAAATATTGCAAGCCTTAAATTGTTTTAATATAGCTGATTATGGCGTACAGCTGAAGAAAACTAAAAAATCCGATACTCTAATATTTTGAGATAGGATATTTGGGTTTCTTAAGCTGTAGTCCATTGATGACCGCAGTGATCGAGTTGTGACATAAACCTTTGCAAGAGGATTCAAGTAGATGGGAGCCCTACCCTTTGATCATTTAACTCATTGGCTGCCAAAGATGTCTATAGATGTCTTTTTTATGTTTTTCAACGAGAGTGGCTGGGGGACGATCCGCTAAAGCTTGTCCGTAAATATCAGGCTTCTAGACAGAGTATGTAGTAACAAATTGACCCTCTAGGGGGCAGTGCATAGATGGGAGATGAGCATAGACTGTAGGCAAATAAGAAAAAGGTAACGGTTCGATATGAGAGAACATGTCGCCGGTGAGACGCAAGTCGAGGAAGAACGGAATAAGGTAGAAACAAGATTTTTTTCCTGATGAAAGAAGAGAGTCTACTCTTTCTTTTGGTAAGACCTTTGTCGGCTAGCATCAGGGACTTGGATTTGATACGGGCAGCCAGAGGTAACCAGTGGAGTTCAGTGAACAGAGGGGTGACGTGAGATTTTTTTGGGCTGATTGAAAACCAGACGCACCGCCGCGTTCTGGATCATTTGTAAAGGTCCAGGTCATCCACCTCATTCTTATTTTCTACCAGCAAAGCTTCAGCTCTCCTCTTTTTTTTAGGTCGGAGGTCATTTCTCAAGCCTGGCCATCCAGCAGATGAAGGACTTTGGGAGGGTTGCTGTTTGTGGAAGTATCTCCACCTATAATGATGCCAAACATGAGACAGGTCTGTCCTCCCAGAGAGCTAAAATATTCAATTAAAAATCAGAAATTCGAAGAAGTAAGTACGTTTTTTTCCACTCTCTCTTGTCAGGACCTTACCCTTTGATAAAGATAAACATGAAGCAGCTTAAGATTGAAGGTTTCATGCAAAGCCGATGGGAACATGAGCATCCAGAAGGCCTCCGGAAACTGATGGGCTGGTTGAAGCAGGTATTATTCCGAAACCACAAAAAATCAATTGATTTTGTGTTTTTTTAGCAAATACCTTCATTTTAGGAGCCTTTAGGTTAACTTGCTCAAGCCTGACCAAAGGACTAATAGACAATAAACTCTTTTATTAGCAAAATGTTTGTGTAACTCTTTGATTGTTAGATTTTATTTTTATATTCGAATTAAATTATTTACTTCACACTTACAATAGACGAAAAACTGATTGTATTCCGAAACAACAAAAAATAAATTAATTTTATGTTTTTATTAGCATAAACCTTAACCTTTAGGTAAACTCGCTAAAGCCTGACCTAAGGATTGATAGACAATAAACTCTTTTATTACCAGAACGTTTGTGTAACTCTTTGATTGTTAGTTTTTTGTAAAATATTTAAATTTTATTATTTTTTTCACACTTACAATAAACTAAAAACTGATTGCATTCAAGATGGTTTTGAAAAATAAGCAGCTCCCCGAAATCTTTGTTTGAGATATGATGAATATGGTGTTAAAGGGTTCATTCTGATTAATCTGAATCATGAATTCTGCCTCCGTAGGGGAAGCTGAAGTTTCAGGAGCACGTCACAAAGGGTTTTGACAACATGCCAGCAGCTTTTATGGGGATGCTGCAGGGAGAAAACCTGGGCAAGGCCGTCATTTCAGTCTGATGTGTTCCCTGTAAATCACATTATTACGAATTAGCTATTTCTAAGGGGAAGAGCAACACGTTTCACTTAATTTTGATCAAAATTTCTGGTTTATGCTTCATAAATAGACCGGATTAGTGTGAATAAATGCACTTATTTGATTCAGTAATTACTTATTTTTTAAACTAACACCTCTCCAGGTAGGCTTGCTGCAATAAGTACAGGGGTTTTATTATGTATGTATGTTTATTATGTAAACAAAATGTGAATAAAAGCAGCTATGAAGCAGTTTTTGGCTCCGCTTTTGTTGTGTTTCTTTTTGAGTGTTTTGCTGAGCGTGCTGCTTTCGGGAGAAACGAGGGGTTTCTTCTCCCAGGGGCCTATTGTTTCAACAGCCTGGATTCTCCGTCTCCTTCACACACAATTTTAGCTCCTTTTTAGTTAAAAGCGGTTCAGAAAACAGGGACTTTTTGGATTTTGAGAGGAGCTCAGAGGTGGGGGTACAGGACAGGTCAGGTCAGTCCATCACAGGGCTGCACAGACACTAATTAATAATAATAATAATACTTTTTATTTTTAAAAAGCGTCTTTCATGCCACTCAAGGACACTTTACAAACACGATCATCATTAAAACAACGTTGAAACATAGTAAAACATAAAAAGTCATAAATACATAATAAATTATTAAAAATGGAATGAATAAAATTGTGCGAAATGTTAGAGTTAGGGGTGGTGAGGTGGGTAAGAAATTTTAACCAGAAGGCAAACAGGAACCATCATTGGAGGTCAAGAATTTAATGGATAAATGGAGATGGTGGCCTTTAAGTAATTTAAAGTGATTTGGTCTAATGTTCTCCACGCTAGCCTGCTTTCTCTGAGCAGATAGGAGGTGACTCAAGCCTCTTCGGAGCTCCAGAAAATATATATTTAAAAAAAATTGGTTTCAGTATTTAAAGAATGTATGTTAGGGTGGGATCAACATGAAACAAAAGATACCCACCATGTTTGGATCTGATCGAGAAAAAAATGGTATCGACGATGCGTAACGTTATCTACAGATTTATCCACAAATCTTTTGATTTTCAAATTTCCAAAAACTGCCAGAAGAATAGCACAGGAGCCCTAGAAAAGTGACCCAGTTTGCGTTCTTTTGTCACTGAGAATCAAAAGTATGAAGCAAATTCATGATTTGCAAGAGCAGACTGTAGAATTTTAGGACATCTGCACCAAACATTATCCTTTTTCTGTAGTTTAAAGATCAATAAGTGTCAGTGATGATTTTAAAACTGCGCAGCAGAAGGTTGTGTGAGAACACGCATAGTAAAGCTATTTGTACGTAAAGACGTCACAGCCCGGTGACGCTTTACGTCCTACGTCACCCGCCGCGCTCAACTTCCGACCAATCAGGAGCGAGCGTGGAAGCCCCGCTCTGGCCCGCCGGAGTGGTCTCAGCATCCCGCGGCGGTTTGCGTCTCTTTCGGAGCGTTTTTCCACACAGTCCGCCGTTTTTATTTGTGGAGGAACTTCGCTGGTGAGTGAAAGCAGACAGGTTTTTGGTAAAGAACGAAGTGGAAGTGTTTTTATCCGCCTGTTTCCGCTTATTTCGTGCCTTTTAGTGTCGCGCGCTGCATTTATTTACAAATGTTTTACGCACAAACGACGACTCTGCCTAGCTTTGTTTGGGCATTTTGAAGGGAAATGTCGTTAAATATGTCAATTTCTTGCGATATCTCCTCGTTTTATGCTTTCCTACGTCTGTGCTCTTGCATATGTAGCTTGTTTCGTTTTCAGTGTTTTTCTCCCCTGAGTCATTTGATGTAAAACCACCTGACTGTCCAGTTATCTGATGGTCACTTACTGATTTCACATGTACAGAATTAAGCTAGTCTCACCTGAGCTTTCTGCTCACAGTGTGACCTCATTTTATAACTTTTGTTACTAAGGAAGGGCTTTGTTTTTGTTCTGAAACATGCTGTTTTTTTGGCTTTGGGTGTGATCTGTCTTACTTACTGTTCACAACTCAAAAGCTCTTTGGATAAAACCATGGTCCAAGCCAAGTTGTGGATTCTGGCCAAACACTTTGAGGGGTTCCCAAAAACCAGCGACTTCCAGCTCCAGGTGGAGGAGCTCCCGGAGCCCAAAGATGGAGGTCAGAGCCTTTTCTTTGTCGACCTGAACATGGTGCTTTTTTAAACAAGTGAGAGCTTTTAAAAACTGTTTTCTTGTCTTTCAGAGGTGCTTCTGGAAGCGGTTTTTCTCAGCGTGGATCCCTACATGAGGTGGGTGGTAAAAACAGAATTATTATTAGGATCAGAAATCATGTCTTTTTAAAAAAAAAACTCTTCATCTGTTCTCCACAGGCCGTTCAGCAGGGTCCGCATGAAGGAAGGGGACGTAATGATTGGAAGTCAAGTGGCAAAGTGAGTACAAACAGATCCACCCGCCCACACACACTGACTTTAAAGTCTTTCATCATGTCTGATGGTAATCGTGGAAGAAAACAACGAGCAGATGCTGTTGATCACCCAAAACTTTGAGCTCCGTCTGAGGTCAGAAACATTCTTGGCCGAGTGTTCAGACACAGAAACGTCTCTCTGACAACGATAAACACGCAGAATAAACGACCCGGTTAGCATACTTTTTAAATTGCTTCACTTTTCTTTAGATTCTCTCTGAAAAACAGATGCTCCGCATTTCCGAGGAGGCCACATCTGGGGAACATCTGCCTCCCGTTGGCACGCAGTGGTCTGTTTTACCGCACAACAAGCCACAGTTGTGTTCGCTTTTCGTAAACAAATCTGATTTAAACACTTATGAGAAGTTCCTCTAAGTTCCTCTTTGAAAAGGTAAACGCTGGTCCAAACAGGAGCAATTTTCAACCCCCAACCTCATCGTGCGAGTGTTGTCTGCAGAAGTCTCTGGGTTTTGTGGCACTAAAAGAGCTTATTTTCTGTTTTCCATCCTCATATAAAGCATTTCCAAATGACATAAGCAAACATTTGTGAATTTTTATGAAACGCAATCAAATCTGTGAGCACGTCTTCCAGCATTGGGACGCTGAAAAAGCCGAATGTTGGTCAGGTTTTTATTTTTAATTAGATTCAGATGAATTTACATAAGGCCCAATCACAGCAGATATCACCTCCAGGAACTTCAAAAATCCTGCTCCAGCCAAACATTCGTAGTCGTTCATCAGACTCCAGATGAGTCAATTTCTTTCTTTAACTCACTCATTTTGTGCCTTTCAGCTTCATCATAAGAGTTTCTGCCAAATGTTGACGCATCTCTTAGGAAATATTCAAAGTAACAACCAAACAGTCAACAAATTGTTTTGTTTTTTTAAATGAAAACCAGTGGATTTGTTCAATTCTCCCTCCCTGTGTGGATATAACAGAAACCTTTACTGACTCACATTTCTGTGCGTTCCCGTTTTTGTGCAGAGTGATTCAGAGCAGGAACCCGGCCTTTCCTGTGGGGAGCCACGTTGTGAGTCGCTCCGGGTGGAAGACCCACGCGGTCAGCGACGGGTCGGACCTCGTCCCCGTGGCAACCGACTGGCCTCAGGACGTCTCTCTGTCTCTGGCCCTGGGAACCATCGGTATGCCGGGGTAAGGCGGCCGACACAATCCAGGTGTGAGGTGGATTCCTAGATGACTATGCGAGAAGCTGGGCAGAAATACGTTTTTTCTGCCGTTGGCTCGTCCAGATCCGATATCTGAATCGGATCGGCCGACGATATTTGCCAAAAAACGCGTATCGGCCGGCATTTTCAAAAAGTCAGATCCATTGTGTGTTATTCAAACTCACCTAATTCAGCTGGGTAGTTGTTATCAGAGTAAATCCCTTTTCAACATGAGTCTGACAACTAAGTAAGTAGATAAATAACTTTAAACTTTAAACACATGCTCTGATACAATCACTACGGGGAGACACACACAAACTAACAAACACTAACAGCAAAAAAATACTGCAGACAAACCCGGGGGAGAACCTGTAGAACCACCTGCATGCAGACACACGAAAGAGACACACACAAACCACCACGACACTGGTAATAATGGCAGACAGGATATATTTCCAATTTTGTACGGCAACTGCACAGAAGCTCAAAGGTGTGTGTCTGGGCAAATAAGTTAGTGTGTGTGTCTGTGTGGGTGTGTATAAGCACCGACGTGCAGAACACACAACACAGGTTTCACACTGATTGTTTATTCTTATTATTTATTCTTTCTGTGCGGCCCGGTACCAGTCGACCCACAGACCGGGGGTTAGGGACCGTTTGGCTAAATAACTTAAACACATGCTCTGATTGGCCGGTATCGGTACCTTGTCTCCAGGCTGACGGCTCTGTACGGGATCGAGGAGGTTAAATCAATATTAAATTAATTAATTAACATTAAATCAATAGCAGCAACAACAAAAAACGCACTCCAAAAATGCAGATCCAGACTCCAGATCCATTTTTGTATTATTCAAACTCACCTAATTCAGCTGGCAAGTTGTTATAAGGCTAGTTGTTATAAGGCTAATTGTTATAAGAGTAAATCCCCTTTTCAACATGAGTCTGGCAACAAAGTAAGTAGATAAATAACTTTAATATAATTAATATTATAATAATATCATTTTAATATTAATATAATTTTAAAATGGAGATCCAGACTCCAGATCCAGTTTTGTTTTAAAGTTTGATCCCACATTAGCATTAGCATCTGCTAACCCACAGGTCTGTGTCCTAACCATTAAGTTGTTATCAGAGTAAATCCCTGTTCAACATGAGTCTGGCAACTAAGTAAGTAGATAAATAACTTTAAACTTTAACACATGCTCTGATAGGTCGGGATCGCTACCTTGTCTCCAGGCTGACGGCTCTGTACGGGATCGAGGAGGTTAAATCAATATTAAATGAATTAATGACATTAAATCAATAGCAGCAACAAAAAAAATGCAAAGTTAGTAGGAAAATGCATCCTCTAGGGGGCTAAACCTCAGTGGCTCTCTGTCGATATTTGCCAAAAAAACGCAATCCAAAAATGCAGATCCAGACTCAAGAACCATTTTTTTTTTCAAAAAGTCAGATTCATTGTGTATTATTCAAACTCACCTTATCCAGCTGGCTGGTTGTTATCAGAGTAAATCCCTTTTCAACATGAGTCTGGCAACTAAGTAAGTGGATAAATAACTTTAGACTTTAACACATGCTCTGATTGTCTCCAGGCTGACGGCTCTATACGGGATCGAGGAGGTGCTAAAG